ATCTGGAGCCGCTCCTCTTCTGCCTTCTTCTCTTCTTCGATCCTCTTTTGCTCCATCTGGAGCCGCTTCTCTTCTGCATGCTTCTCTTCGTCTTCAATCCTCTTCTGCTGCTTCTGGAGCCGCTCCTTTTCTGCCTTCTTCTCTTCCTTTTGCCGCTGCTTCTCAACCTTCGTCTCATGGAAAGCCGTTTGTGGGGTGGCAACAGCTGCTAGATCTGCTTCCAAAGACCTTGCCACTGCTGGTCGGCTGGCCTTACTCTTCTGGGTGTCAGGCCTTGTAGTCTTCCTGCCTGTAAAGGTTCGTGAACGCATGTTGCCCTTTGTAGAAGTCCTGCGTTTGATCGAACTCTTTCTCTTGCCATCCTTCTTCAGACCCTTCTTCAAATGCTTTCTTGAAGCCGTGCTGCTTTTCAATCTCTTTCCTGATGAACCCTTCTTTGGTGCTTTCACTGCCTTCTTCAGCCCCAATGGTTGGTTCAGGACCTCAGCAACTTGTGACTCCGTACCTGGCTGAGTCTGGCTTTCACCAAGATCCTGACTTTCACCTGCACAGGTGTGCCACATGTCACCAGGTTTAAGGGATTGGTTTTGACTGAAAACCAGGGACAACACTTGCCTCTGCCATATACCAGGGTAGATTGCGTATCCGACCTGGGCGCCACTATATATAGATAAAACTTTTCCCGACCCATCGACAGACCCCCCTCACCAAGTTCCCAACGCAGAGATTGAGATAGGTGAAGTCCCTTTTGACAACGTGTTCCTTTTATCTTTCCCTTGCTCAAGGAGTTCTTGAAGTTCCTTGTCCATCATGTCCCAAAAAACAAAGATATCGAGCGTTTGATCACAGGTGGCTGAGGAATGATGAACAGCAGCACACAGCCGGAACGACAAAAGAACACATCTCTGGTGATTGACCTTAAGGTATGCTGCTAACGATTGCTAACGATTGCTAACGGTTGGCCGAGGTTTCCGACGTTCCTTTAGAGGTCGCCGAGGTACCTTTAAGGGTCGCCGAGGTACCTTTAAGGACCACTGCTAACGACTGCTAACGATTGCTAACGATTGCTCAGCCGGCACCCACGCACCTTTAGAAACAGGCCTTTGCAGAGTAACGACGACTCATGAATTATGCAAATAGCACATGGAATTAGTACACATCATCAGTTGCAAACAACTGGCTGACGGTGCCACTGCAAAACAAAAGGCTTGGGGCAGTATTCACAGCCCATATGCAAACTTGGGTTTCCAAAAACCCAACGCGGCTTGCTCCTTCAAAAACTTTCCGACATCATCCAGCCCTGCGTGTGTCCAGTCCAGGGGTGCTTCCAATGCCTGCAAGCTGCAAAGTTGCTGGGGATATATTGCAATGCATCAATTCAAAAGGATCCGTTTTGCCTTGGCTTAGAAATGATATAGACGACGTACTATAGTGCACATGTACTAGTTGATCAGCCACAGACCCACAAAAAGCAAATCCTCGACTGCACTAGTTATCACGAGTGCTAAAGATTGTCGACTGGATCAAAAAATAGGGGGCCTTGGTAGACTGCAAGTTCTCCGCAGCAATCTTAAGTGTGGACTTCAGCAGGTCTTTGTTCCTCATGTCCTACATTCAGATTAATGCCCATGATCGATCAGAACGTGAGCTGCCAGCACATGTACGTGTATACGTGTGTACTAGTCCTTGCCAAAAAATGTGTCGGATGGCCATACTCCGTCCAAATCCTCGAGGATATTGCTCGGTCTGTTTCAGCCGAGGCCCACCCGACCTCAAGCACGCTCGAGGTAATTGCTCTTTGGCGCTGAGTTGAGTGAAGGTGTGGGCCATACGTCATCACTGAATTCAAATCATCACTGTAAGACAAGGTGAGTGAAAGTAAAAAGCTAGGCAACTGGCACTGTTTTCTTCCCTGTCGTTTGATTGATCGTTTTGATTGTTACACCAGAACTGGACAGCTTCGATCGAAGTGTCGCGGTCATCCTCAGATAAAGACGGGGTATCCAGGGCCTCAGGTGGCAGATGTGCTGTTGAAACCTCTTCACCAGTCCACTTTGATCCAAGAGAGGTTGACAAGATAAAAAAAACAATACGATCGCGAGGTGTCAATTTCTTTCGAAGCTAAATGACTTTGAAGCGGTGCTCACGATCTAGATCTACTCATATGCATGCATATAGACAAAGCGCACGGTCTAGATCTACTGATCATGTGCTTTTCAATTTGGCTCTCAATCTCTCCTGATGGTTGGGCCACGGACGCTGTGCCCCAACCACGTGAAGGTTTGTGGCTGAAATGCCCAAAGCTGGCCATCCAACTTAGAGAAATTTATGCGCATATATATATATATCGGTCACTAAAAGCATTAGCACACATGTACAGCTAATCTTCCTGGAAATTCTGAGTTTCTGGCAAGAAAGAATTGTAAAATGGGACTCTGAAACGCTGGCATACCTCCTGAACAAATACGTAGTATGGAACCATGAACAGCCTGCTTGAAGCAGGCTGTTCCACAAAGACAAAAGCCGCTCGGCAGATCAATACCAGAA